AAAAAAAAAAAGTGGTCTACCATAAAAACACTTAATGTACAATGTGAATGGTAAAAAAGAAACTAAATTTGGCCATACTGTTGCCTTAACTAAAATATTAGTTCATGACTAATTTCATTAAACTGTTCCATGAACCCAAGTAAGACATTAATCACTAAATGAACTTTTAATGTATAAATAACTTTCCTGCTACTCAACTGAATCAAATTAGTTTTTAAACTTTTGTATACCAGTTTCATATCTCCTAAATATTTAGTGCTCTTATGCAGCTGTTCTGAAATCTTCTATTCAGATCTTAAAGTAGCTAGCCCATAATGTTATGGGTAGATTTTAAAATATGAATTTCTTTGCAGGTAATGCTATGGTGAAAGGACTGGCAAATGTTCAGGAGCTGTACATCACTACTACTGAACCTGAGCATCTTCCACCATACACAAACGGAGAAATTAAACAACAGATTGAACATGAACAAAAGGAAATCCATGCTGTATTACAGGACTTTGATAATCTGGTTTTCAAATCAAAAGATCAGGAAATTACTGGTATGAGTTAACAGAATATTGTACAGTGTGTCTGTCTTAAACCAACTCCTTGTACTTTAACTTAATTAACCCTGATATTCTTAGCTTGCTTAAGTACCTCATTATTCCTAAAGTTGATAAACTTTTCATATTTATTACAGATAATCAATTAATGCCTTAAATCTGCTCGTACTTGAATAGCATTCATAAACTAATATTACCACTCCAATATTCTAATTATAAACTCAAGCACTTGAAATTGTATTAAATACTTGTTTAAATGTTTTCAGGTAATATAAAGTTCACAAAACCAGTTGCAGCTGAAAGGGCCGAAATTGGGCACATTGTGAATGATGTCATTTTGAATGGTATTCCAATAACCAGGCTACGTGACTTTACCTTGAAGACTGAAGGTTACCAGGAGATAACTGGAAACATTGTTTTTGACAAAATATGGGTTGACAAGCTATATGTTGACAACTTGTTAAATGGCATAAATATGAGTGGTATGTTTTTTAACTTTTTTAAGCATGTGCTAAAATTACCTGCATATCAATATTATTAATATGGGTAATACTAAATTTTTTAAACCATCTAAACCAAAGCTTGTCATAGTTATTTTTGTTTTCCCTTCTGGTGATTTTAATTAAAGTGTTTGTTTTATTCAGACCTACTACTTCTACATGGAAACCAAACAATTACTGGTAACTTGAAGTTTCACAACGTTATTTTGGATACTGACCTCTTTATTGGAAGTGGATACACTTTAAATAATGTAGACCCTAGAAGCTGGGTTACAACAAACCATCCCCAGACTATTGGTGGTGTAAAAACATTAAAATCTCTAAATGTGCACGAAAACTTGGATGTCAGAACCACTACTAATGGAGTGAGTATAACATTAATTTGGATCTTTTCTATTAGATATTTACAGAAACTAATGTAAAATGAAAGGGTGCTATATTTTATTTTATTAACCATATACCACTACTCCCAAAATGATTAATTTGTTCACTCTTTGATTTTAAATTCTAGTTGTTTACTTTCAATTTGTATAGAAGAAAAGGTTTTTCTTTTTATTGTGGAGAGTTCTTAAAGATGCAATTTTTTTTTTAACTCGTATCCTGAAGTTTTTTGGTTTTTTTAATATCTGAACAATTATCTTCAACAGCATGACCTGTCTGAGATTGCTAGAAGAGCAGTTCGTTTAGATAAGGAACAAGTCATCACTGGTCAAATAAAATTTGAAGCACCCCTCCATGTGGATGGTGATATGTTGATAAATGGTAAAATAAATGGCTATATTGATGTCCAAGCTCTAAAATATGGAACTGTAGACAAGACGAGCGAACAAGAGATACTAGGTTTGTTTCGTAACTTTTGTTTATTTGTACCCATCTCTTAAATTTCATTAATTAAAGCGGAGGAAGAGTAGTACATCTAATAGGTTTTTAATTCTTTCTTTAAAACGTATTGAAATTTAACTTTGTTTTCATGAATTATTTCAATTACCATAATGACAAATGTTGTTGCTAAAACCTGACTAAAATATTTGTCACTCAAATTCCCTGATTAGGGAGTGGGGGAGATAAACATCAAAGTGAACTCTATAATCCATACTTCAGCCTTAACATAATGCCATGATAATTATATAAAAACTCCTTAAAATATTATGCTCTTTAATTTCTTCTTTCTATTAAAGGTGAAAAGGTATTTCTTGCTCCAGTGTATGTGAGTGACAATGTGGAAGTAAATGGTAGGACCAATGGAATAAAACTGGGAACAGAAGTTGTCACAATAAATACCCCACAGACAATTTATGGTAACTTTAAATTTCAAGAATTAGTCTCTTTTGGGGAGAACCTAGAAACTGGATTAGTGAATGGAATAGACTTGAGTGAAGAGGTGGTACTGAAGCATGGTCATCAGGTAGTGAATAGCTTCAAAATATTTAAAGAATCTATAGTTGTGGAGGAAGATATAACCATGGAAGAAGGTATAAAGATAGATGATGTGGACCCTTCAGAATTTGTGAAAAGAATAATTTTGCCAGACAATTTGAATGTAACTGAACCTATTGTTTTTCAAAACCTGGTTATTAATGGAAACCTTTTGGTAAGAGAAGGAATAAATGGCTATCCAATATGGGATCTGAAAGATACTCTATGGTTGAAGAGTGAAGAACAGGTAAATTAACTAAATATGCTATACCTCTGAGGAAATATTCTTATTTTAGTAAATAGATGGCAGCTATTAACTGTTGCTTTTAGTAACATTCTAAATATTGAATTGTACTTGGCTGTTTCCTTGGTAGATGAATTTCAAAAAATAAAAATGATGCATTGCTTTAATAAAATTAAACTTTTGATGTGGAGAAAAGTAACTGCAACTTGCATACTGTTCAAACAGATAATCCCTGTACCTGTAACCTTCCCTGGGACTGTTACTTTTGAAAAAGAACTTTTAGCGGATGCCATCAATGGGTACCATCTTCATGAATTTGTTCACACACATGGTGATGAAGTCATTACAGCAGAAAAAACTTTCACTAATACTGTCTCTGTAGAAGGGGAAATTTCTGTAAAAGATGGAGTGACTTTGAATGGTGTAGATATCTCTGAACTTGAGAAAATTGTAAGTAAATGCTTTTACTAAGCGTGCAGAGTTAAATTGCAGATATTTTTTTTTTTTTCTAATTTTTTGGATAGCACTAACTTTATTCCAATGGCAATTGATATTTTAGCTCATTAAATCTGTAATGTTTTGTGTAATCTTGCTATTCTTAAGTAGCCCAGTAAATAACTTTTAGAAGCTTAAGTTGAGTACTTGCAGATTGTTCGAAACAAAGGAGATTATATCATCCATGGAAGAAAAACTCTAAAATCCTTGGAAGTTAAAGGAGATTTAATAGTCAAAACAACGGTGAACTCTATTGACCTGTCGGAGGATCTAATGTTAACGGACAAGGAACAAGTTGTTACAGGTAAGTTGACATAACTAATGTGCAGTGAAACTAAACCCATTGGTATTAGTTAGCCTGTGTGTGAACTTTGGATGAGAAAATATTTCTGTAATTCATTTAAACTTTATTTGACCAATTTTGGAATAGTTTCTCTCACTGATATCTAAATCAAAAAATCCTTTCCACAGGTCACCTCAAAATGGCTGAGCCCATTATAGTTAAAGGAAACGTCTTTGCTAAAGAAATTCTTGTTGAGGAAACTGTAAATAATGTGGATATCTCTGACTTTGCCTCAAATGTTGTTTTCACTGATGAGCCCTTCAGGAAGCCTATAAGGAACAAAGCATTTGTAAATGGATTTAAAGGTATGATAAACTTTACTTTTATTAGTTTGACCAAACTCTGCAATAATATAAATAAATATATCTTGACTTTCTCTCTGACATGTTTAGATAAATATTTGGGTAACGTGAGGTACATGTGGCTCTCGGATTGTACACTTGCACGTATCCTAATTGAATCTGTCCTTGCTTTTGAGGTGACCATGACTTCAACTACAGTTCTAGGCCATTATCTACAATAAGGAATCTTTCAGCATTGACTATTTAAAATGATCTTATACTTGCTCTTAATTCTGAAACTGAACATGCCAAAACTTGGCTTCTGTTTTTAATTATTTTTACTACTTCAAAGTGCTTTTGGTGGTATTTTGTTTGTTTTGGGAAGAAACAACAACAAAGTATACAAATTCCTTTTCTAAGAATAATGTTTGACTCTTTCAAATAGCAAAGAACATTGAAGCAAAGGGCACAATAGACATGGTGGACATAGATGAATTTGTGAAAAGAGTTGTAACTGTAGACACTCCTCAAAGAATATGGGCTTCTAAAAACTTTACTGGCAATCTCGAATTCAAAGGACAACTGAATTCTACTACAGTCAATGGTCTGAACCTAAGGGACTATGTGGACAGAGTAGTATTCAAAAATAGAGATGAGGTAGTACGTGGTAAAAAAACTATTAAAGGGTGAGTTTCAGATTTTTTTTTCTCCTCTTTTAAAGATATGTGATTTGAACATATTTAGTCTTTAACTAGACTCAAATAATGCTTAACCATGTTTTCACTACTTTATACCTAATTCTTCTGCAGGAGTGTTAACATAGAAGGAAACTTGAATATTGATGGCTACCTCAATGATGTAGATATTCCTAAATTAAAAGGAAAAGCAATGTCCAAAAGCAAACCAAACGATATCACTGCTCCAATGGCTTTTGTAAATAGTGTAGAGATTGGTAAGTAATATTTTGAATGTGTAACTTTTTTTGTGCAGAGGACAGAATAAACTTTCATTCTCAATATTACTATTTCTAATTTGTACCCAAAGTAAAGGCTATGGTAACTTTTTAACAGGACATTTAATAGTTAAGGAGCCTGCTACATTAGATGGAGTAGATCTGCAGGTGCTAGCTTTCTTGGATGAAGATGTTCACTTCACAGACTTCAATAAATTTGATTTGGTAGTGGAATCTCATGACAACATTACTGTTAATGGCCTAGTAAATGGATGTGACCTGGCATGGGTGAGTGCTATAACTTTAAGCAAATGTACAGATATTAAGTATTAGTTAAAGTAGTATTATGGAGATGGGGCCTAGATATTTGTTGACGTAATCTGTTCTTTATTTCAATGAACCAAATTTTTCTTATGGAAGCATTTTTCTCTTCAATAGCTGGCTGAACATGCACTATACTTGAACAAAACTAACAAACCTATAACCGGTAAAAAGAGTTTCCACCATCTTGCTGTAAAAGGAAATGTGCACGTTGCTGGTACTATTAATGGAGTAGACATTCAAGTCTTGGCAGGAAAGATGGTAACAAAATCTGATCGGCAAACAATTACTGGAAAAGTACATTTTCAGAAAGGTCTAGAGGTGAAAGAACTTGTACTGAAAGACCTGGTTAATGGAGTAAACATTAACTTTATTTTCAAAGATGCTGTTAGAAGATCTGTTCCACAAGTGAGTGAACTTTTTACTTTCCTAAAAGATAAATTCTGCATGCTTACTTCTACATTATTTCCTCCTCCTTTTTATAAAGGAGTACTTTAATTGCATACTGAAACTTGGTTCACACTTGTCATTTTCCAGTGGTAACAACTGTATGTAAATGTTGTACTAATAGTATCTAAAGTTTATTTCTAATACTAATGTGAATATTGGCTTTCCATTACCTAAATATCCAAAGATATATGTTTCTTTATCCTGCAGGTGATACAAAGTTCTAAAAAGTTTGCAAATGCTTTGGGACTAGTGGTGAGGCAGACCTTAATGGTGGAGAAAGACCTGAAAGTACTTGAGAAGGTGAATGACGTAGATATCTCTGAACTGAGTAAGATTACAGTACTGAAATATGGGGAACAAGAAATTTATGGAAGGAAGACTCTCTCAAATATAATTATTCGTCAAAATATGTATGTAGGAGGTAAGTTGTCACTTTCTTCTAGACAAAACTCTTCTTAATTATAAAAGATGGAATTCTCTAATCTGGAGCTTATTTGTAATTCTCTGACTTAATCTGTCATTTTGATCTTAAGCTACTTCAATCATTTTTACTACTTCTGACTTGAGCTTTATGTGCAAGAAATTCACTTGTAAATACCACTTTTTTCAGGACGTTTAAATACAATAATGATCCCAGAAGATTTGATTGCTGTGAACACAACAGAAACTATCTATGGTCCAACAGTCTTCCTTGCTCCTATACACGTGGAAGGAAACCTCTTTGTGAGGGGAAAAATTGACAAAACTGATCTCGACTTCCTGCTGGAGAACAGAGTTACTCTCTCTGGTAACGAAGAAATTTATGCTGATTTCACCTTCAAAAGCCAAGTACACTTGAATAGTAAGTAATATAAACTAATTAAGTCTGTTATTTTGGAAAGAGGAATAGATTAGATAAATACTAAAGTAATTTTCAATGCTTGAACTTAAGGTAAATTATTATAGTGAAATGACATTTTGTTAGGTTAACTTAAGATGGTGTTTAACTGTCACTTACTGCTGAACTATGTTTCTCTTAGATCTTGAAGTTGAGAAGATAAATGATGTATTAGTTTCCAGTATTGTGACAAAGACAGGAAATCACATAATCAAAGGCTTCAAGACATTTTCTGAAGACTTGAATATTGGTGGGAGTCTAGAAGTTCGGAGACTTAATGGAATAGATTTGCAATACCTTAATGAACATGTTGTAAGACACAACCGTAGAGAAGTTATTACTGACTTTACAGTGAGTAAAATCAATAGCATTACCTTTCGGTTAATATGAAAATGTAACTTTGGCAAGTAGGGAGAACTTTCTATACAATTAAGGCAATAAACTTGTCTGTGTACATTCTTAAGAGTTGACTTTGATTATAGGTTTTCCATGCACCACTAGAAGTGACTACATCTATTGAAGTGGCAGAAACTGTTAATGAATTGGATATCAGTGAACTGGCAGAATTTTTCTTTTATGAGAGTGACAGATTAAACCAAGAACTACTTGGTATGGAAGAAATTGAAAGTGAACAACACAGAGCACTAAAATACCAGTTTGATGCTCATAAATGTAAGTGAATGTAGTTTTTGAAAAAAGAACTTGTGTTGAATGTTCTTAATTACATTTCTGTGGTAATTCTAGGTTTTTAAAAAAGAATATACACAAATATTGTTAATATTTGAATGAGATACTTTTTTTTTTTTAAATAAAATCACTACCCATGTCTCTAGTATGTAACTTTAGCTAAATATTGCAAGCATTGAAGTGTATATTCAGACAGTTTTACATATATAGTGATATAAGATAGAGGGGGCAAATGAAAATGCTAAAATCTTTTTAGATATGTAACATTCTACTTCAAATCCAGTACTGTGGATAGCTTACTTATTGGTTTACACATTAGTTATCTATCATTGTTGCTTTGAAATGTCTTAACAATATAAATTCAAGAATATTGGTCTTTTATTTTGATTATGATAAAAACCTGTATATCAATGTTTGACTTAAGAATAACATTATTTCAATTTAGATTTAACTGGACTAGTGAACTTGTAGCATATTGATAGCTCCTAATGCAGCTGTAATGGCAAATATTGAGCTAATAATAAATAAATAAATAAATTGCACACTATATCTTCAGATTTACGGTTTGAGTTAAGGTTTCTTTTTTTTTATTTTTTTTTTCTTGGGTGTAGTTAATGCTTGGACTAATGTAAATCTTCTCAATTGTAGATCAAATCTCTGAGTTGGCATACTTTGAATTGGTTCAAGAAATTGATATGGCATCCACCAAGTTCTTTTCAATCCCAATGTACACTTACTATAGGTAAGTTCTTTTGGAATAAGTAAACAAGTGTAATTTTAACTTCAGCCATACTTTAAATTACCATTGTTAAGCTTTGTTTTAGGGAGTAACTTTGCATGAATGAAATGCTTTTCTGACTTTTCCAGGAATGTATACGATATATTTCCCATACATTCACTACTTGCTTGGAGAACAGAGCGCACAAACTGTGACTTTTCCGAGGATTACTGCTGTGAGGTCTCGACTACCTTCATGTTTAATGTTGCTGCTAATGGAACACTCTCCTTAAGCAGTGGTCCAATAGAAAAAAGAATTTTCCCTTTTATTTTCCATAGCTCTGTATCCAATCTTGAATACACCTTATGGACAAACACCACTAGTAGCAGGAAACGGTAAGTCCATATTCTATGTACTGTAGAAACAACTCTTCAAAAGTATGTATCCTTCTTTTTAAATGCATGGGTTCTAGTCTTAATAAATTTTAATTTCTTTGACTGAATAACTAGTTTTAAACAATTGTTTAAAATATAACTTTGCTTTGGGGTGGGGGAATTTGCATGATAAAGCACTAGTAAATCAATATGTATTCTTTAAATGTTCTAATTACTTTTATCTAGTTGCCATTACGAAGGTATGGAAGAAACTCTCGTTACATCTGTCTATGGAGATTATTGGGAACCTGATCAAGAAGGTTCCTTAAGAATAAGAAATTCCCCTTACGTTTCTGATGCCAAGATCTTCAAAGTGGATGATTTGGTATACCTAGCAGTGGCATTTTCATATGACAAGAAAACAAGTAAGAAATGGTGACTGTTTCCATAAGTATTATTAGTAATGTTAAAAAAAACCAAAAAAAACCCTATTTGCTAAAAGCTTTATAGTACCTACGTAGAAGGGAAGTTTGTAAGCTGTGGACCTAGCTTCCTAAATTTACATTAGTTACTTTAGAATTTTATGAATGTTTAAGGATTGTTATAGATTTTTTGAATATATTCAAAACGTAGTAGTCTTATAATATACATATTTCCATACAGATAAATCTGGTAATACTATAATCTACAAACATGACCATCTCTTCAATAAGTGGTCCACCCATCAGGTACTACCTACCTACTATTCTGTGGCCCTGGATCTAGTAATAGTGAGAGATTATGAAAAACCAGTCATTTTGCTTGCTGTTGCTAACAGATTAGCTCCAGAAGGACTATCGGGAAGCTCTACTGTTTACTCATGGAGTTACAACACGCACAAGGTAAGTCTTGGAATACTACTTGGTTACTGGTTTAAAGACTAGAGGATAGATTAAAACAAGTTAATTTGAAGGCTTGTAAATATTGGGAGGTTTAATATAATCAACCAAAGGTACGAGATATTACACTTGTGTAGGTAAATAAGTGCATCTCTAAACCACTTCCTTCAGTTTGTCAAACTTAAAATTAGTACCATCTGCACTGTGTAATTAACATAACTTAAGTTCTGCTAAATATTCTAGATTCATCTTTAAACGTTTTATATATGTAAGAAGGAAAAACAGTATAGTGATAGACCTGGACATTAATTTATTCTGTTATGAAAATTTAACCTGGAAGCAGCCTTCAATAAATTAACTAAAATATCGTACAAATGTATAACTTATCTTCCACAGTATCTAACAAAACTATCCTACATAATTTCAGTTTGAGTTACAGAAGGAAATGCTGACATCCCTCCCAAGTTCAGTTCTTTGGGTTGATACAGGAGACTACTTGTTTGTACTATTTGCCAATGAAAGGACCATGCTCCATCAAAATTACAACTGGAATAATTTGTACCTGGAACCTGTTAATGTGTATCTTTATCATAACCACAACTTTGAGTGGGTCCAGAGTGTTAATGTTAGAGGTGTTCACTCTTTGTCTACATTCAGATTAACAGGTAAGATTTAAGAACTACTTCTTCCTTGGAAGTTGCAGATCTCTAAAGACTGTGGTAGCAAGGTACTAACTTATTTTGTTTTTTCTCCTGTTTAGGTGAAACGTATGTAATGGCAGCTAGCACCCATCTTCAACTTGTATATCTCCTTCAGTGGAGTGGATTTGCAGGCTTTAAAGTAATACAAGAAATCCCAGCACCCGGTGTGGAACATATCCATGTTTATTGGTCAACTAACGAAGACCTGATGATTGCTGTTGCATCTTCCACTGGGCATACTAAGATTCTAAAGGCAGTAATTCGTGGTACAGCTGTAACTCCAATAGAAGGCCATCCAAGATACATGGCACGAGAGTACTTCACTAATGTTTCTTATTTTAATAACTTATTGCTGAAACCTTAATATATTAAGAACTAACCTTGCTTGGACTTTTGCATCATAAGATAAACAATGCTTATCCCACAAGCAACTCTTGTACGACTAATTTATAAATTTTGTTTTTGTATGTATATAACTGTTACAAATAAATAGTTGCATCTTTTTTTTTTTCATAATGACTCCTAGCCTCAAACAGAGTAACACTGATGTCCAAAGCACTACAAATCCATATCAATTCATAACTAAGCAGCTTATTCAAACTTGATCTACTACCATCCTGTGCAGACTGATGACTAATTTTTATTTGATGGACATACCCAACTATACAACAATCTCATTTTACAAATAAAAATGGTGTTAAAACAAATTATTTTTATACTTTGAGGACTAATAACTGAGACTGTAATATGACAAAATTTGAAGCTAAATTTATTTTGGTCTATAGCAACATCTAAAACTCCTGCTGTTATAAATGAGGTTCTTGTAAGCTCTCTTATAGAAGTCTTAATTGGACATTCGAAGCAATGTACAAAAATAGAAAATATTTCTTATTTTCACCAGTTATTGAAAACTAACTTAATTGTCAAAAAGTAAACTCATTTGACTTATATCAAAAGCAAACTTCATTGTTGGTGTACTTCCTTGTTATAACTTGTGGGTTGAAACATCTGGTTGAGGACCTTCCCACCTCTCTTCTGGAGGGAGGGAGGAAAGAAATTTGTAGGTGAAGAATTTTGTCATAATTCTACTCTATACAATTTTAATAACATCTTAAACTATCCCCATTCTCTTGAATATAACTTTAAATGATCAAAGTAAGATTAAATGCCAATAAAGATAATGGTAGCTTTTAAATGCTGCTATTTAAAACATGATGGTAAAACCTATGTTTAAGTTCTCTTATGGATGTAATAAACATTCCTAAAAATTGATGCTTGAAATACTACAGTAAAAAGATATTGTAAAAGAACTTGCCCATGATATGAGCAAGAAGCTCCATCCGATCGCAGCCAAAAAATACTTCGGGTTTTTCTTTAAGGTGGGCAACAATTGTTGGAGCTCCAAAAGCCTGTAACAAATTGAATATTTCAACTAGTTCTAAATGTAGCATACCATTTTTTTTAATGCTTTTCATATCTTTCTACACTATGTTGGGTTTAATGACAATGATACAAAAAAATTAATAAACCTTAATTTTATTTACTAAAGCTACTTTTATGATAGAATTAGTCTTACTCCATATTGTAGAGCTTTTTTAGTGAACTCTGTAAGCCTGTCTTTGGTTTCCTGTGCAGCAATACGAGCTAATGAATCTTGAAGAACATTATCATTTAGTCTTGCTTCTTTGCCAGCCTGTAAAATGTAAAAATGAGTGTTATACCCATATATCTTTCTTTCATAAATTATCTGTAACTAGTGAACTTAATTTGCTGAAAAACCAGAAAGAAAAAAAATTCAAATCTTACCTGTTCAAAGCTTTCAAGTTTAGTTATATCTTGATGCTGGAAAGAAAGATTGTATAACTAGATTGTGATATTCAGTACCCTGATGCAGTACTACCACGTTGCATATCTACAACTTTTTTGTAACTTAATTGGGTATACAAAGAATATTTGTGATAGAAATGAACGACATCATTAAATGGTTTAATACAGATACATGTATGCTTACTTTCCTTTTATGAACTTACTAACAGGATCTGTGTAAGTTTATATACCAATATTTGAGGAATGTTTTAACAAACTACTAAAGCTGGGCAATTGGTGGAATTTGTTAATTGTCAAGTTCATTAATAAACTACAGTCAACTAAGCACTTATTCACACTGAAACTTGGATAGTTTGAAAACTACTAATAATTGGAAAAAACTAATTTTAATTAACTGATTAATTTCGTAAGTCGTAACATTACTTTATTAAGCTAAACAATCTAGAGTTAAATGAGAATATTGAGAAATCATAACAGCAGTATTTTAATTACTTGGATAGAGTAATGAAAAGCACCAATTTTGATTAGTTGTGCTACTAACTGATGTTTGTAGGTAATCGATTAATTATTTGGCTCTACAAGCTACTACTTTTTATTAGGCTGTGGAAAAAAATACAGGTGTCAAATGCTCTGAAAAACAAAAGCCTATTTTTCAATATTTTGGTGAAATCGCTACTCTACCTAAATAAATATATGTTTACAAAAGTTATTATATATATATATATATATGGAACTCCAAATTTAATGAGATTATGCAGCTACAGCATAATTTACATGTAACTGCATCATCAAAGATGAGTAGTGGAATCGGTAAAGTCAAATTTAGGTGTTATCCAGTTTATAACTTTTGACTTCTGTATTTCTTGTTGCTTAAAAAGTGATTCCTGCTAGTTAGACTTATTAATGGCCCATCAAAAGATCTCAAAAGTGTTTTTTGTTATTTCTTAAAACTTTGTTTAATTATTGTTGGTGACGAGATTGCATTAGTTACATTTAAAATTTCCTTAAATTTTGCTGTTTAATTGTTTTTAATTTACGTAAGGGTTGCATAATTTTAAGTTTTGCCACATAACTGACATAATCTTAACTTTTCTGCTGCACAAAACAAGACTCTATTTTTGATATATGCAAACTTCTCGTTTCCATCTTCTTTTGTCAATGTATTTCTAACATTTATAAGTAATTTTATAATGACTCTTAAAGTGGGACTTTCTGATCTGAGATGTATGGAATTTTAACCAATATAGAAATGGGGAGAAGAAATGTGTTTGTATGATTGAAGAAACTGTTTCATCAATTCATTGCCAAGCAGTATGTAACTTTGTAGTGGAAGTGGGGGAAACCATTTTAGAAATTAAATTGTTAATAACAGTATCAAAGGAGGTAAAAAACAAATGGAACTTTCCATATTTCAATTTAGCAAACATCACAATGATGATTATGACTGAGTAAATTTGTCAATTAACTGAAGTAAAACTGGCATACAATTAATTAATAAATAGTTATGGAAAACAAATGATGGTATGGAGGTCAACTATAGTTCTGTTACTTTCTATAAACCAGTTTTTTGTGTTCATATACTCATTTTCAATTAGCTGTGTGTACTTTTAATTTCACATATTATTTGGCTCAAGTGTGTTTCTTTTTAGACTGTATCTTCAAATACAATTGAGTATTGTGCTTGAACTTTTTAACAAACCGTTTGGAATACTCTTGTCCACAAGACTCTAGACAGTCTTTCAGTAAACTCAGGATTTTTCATGTCCACAGCTGTCAGAAATCGCTGAGCAGAGAGTGACCCTTTTTTAAACATCACATCAAATATGTCCTGAAATGTAATAACTTTAAATGTGTGAGCAATAATAACATTTTGTTTCTCATAGATAAGTGATATGAAATAGGTTTATATATATATATATATATTTAAATATAAAACTAGTTAGTTACTAATAAGAATAGTTTTTTATGCTACTCTAAACAGGAAAGTAAAGGTCTCTGTAATGGAAATCCCATCATATAACTTCTAAAACAAAAAGTTGAAGTTAACAATAAGTGGACCTAATTAGAAAGAATTTGTTTTTGAAAATGATGAAGTGAACTTAATAGTAATGACCTCCACTGAAGGAAAGATAAGATCTCATGCACTTTGTAAAACAAAATACTTTCTTAAATATTTCTCTGAAGTACCTCAAAGAAGACTAAAAAAAAAGAGGGATAATGTAACAGGTATTGTGGCAGGAGAATTACTTAATATACGTAGTATTCAGAGTTGACATTAAAATTTGAATATCTTAGAAATAGTTGAATAACATTAGAAAAGACACTGAACTATTTTTAATCATTTCCAAAACATTAGTAAATCTAACAACATCCACTATTAAATATAAATATTGTAATTGTCAGTGTGTTTTATTTCTAACACATACTTCTGGTAGATATATTGGAACTTTGTAGAATTCTCGAAGTCTGCTAAGATCTGCTATCATGTAACTTGCTTTGTTAGGAACCATTGCAGGAGCATGGTTTCCTAATAAAAATATAACACATAAAAAGTATGATGTGAAACTGTTTTACCATATATATTTCATATATAACTACACTTACTTTTTAGATGTTCCAAAAACTAAAATAATACAAGTGGAAGAGCTAAGCATTTTTTTTTTACTGTTGAATTTCATTTACTTACTTACCAATGGTACAATTTACTTCATATATTTGGATGGATACATTATGACTCTTTGCATTAGGCTCACTTTATTTTTGCTAAAGACACATGATTTGTGTTGTTGTTATTTTACTACCTTCAAGCTAGTTTCTTCATTTTGTGAATAAACATTTCTGACAAGGTATACATTATTTCCAACAGTACTTAAGTTTTTCCTTGCTTACTAATGCTTTACCACATATATTAGTTTTTAAATTTCTCAATATAGTGTTTGTAGAATTTTTAACACTATTTCATTATTTAACGTTTGAAAACAGTCCGAATTACAATACTTTTAAGATTTCTTCATAATTTGCAAAAGAAAAATTCACAACAAATATTAGTAAAAATTACAAGCTCAGACAAAATTGTTTGATAGTTCACTTGTAGTTATAGTATCATATATACACTTTTTAGTCCTAAGGAAAACACCTAAAATACAAAATTGGTTTGGGTTACAAAAACAGCTTGCATATAAATAGCTTAAATTCTTGAACACCCACCAGTTTCTTTCATAATTCCCCCAAGAAAAAACGGCTTCAATGAAAGGGTTACATTCCACCTGGTCTTGTATCTACACAATGTCTGGTTGAAAATATAACTGTTTTTATAAGTTTAACTAGTACTATAAAAAACACAAAATTAATTTTTAATTAACCCATCTTATGACAATAGATTTAGAACAACTTGCCTTGAACTTAGGTATACTTCAAATTATATTAAAGAACACAATGAATTATGTTTTTGTATACATATATACACATACATGGAAAGATATAGGTATTGAGAAAGAAAGAAAAACAGCACCCAATAATTTAAACAATTTGAAAATTAATGTGTGAAATAAAAGACAATTTCATACAAATAATAATTAAATTTCTTTTATGTAATTTACTAGACCAATGTAGGCTAGAAAAGCTAAAATGATTGAAATAACAAAATTGGTGGAAGTTTATGAATTTTATCATGTATACACCTGTCATCTTATCAAATGTAGGTTTGAAAAATTCTGATCAAAACTGTATATAGTATAACTATATTGCCGTTATGGGTGTTATTTTTGCAGGTAGTTTGTATGAAACTTTCATAAGTTTACGTTTTAAATACAGTTTGATTTATCTCTTCTGCGGAACAAATACGTCAGTCACGTGAACTGTGACTTACACAAGCGCTATATTATATCATGCCTATGTTAATAATGTAACATATCTAGTAGTACGAGTACACATTGAGATTTAACACAACGAATGTAATACATTCGCAAGAAAGACTGACACAGTTCAAGAAAATGTGGTTCAAAAGGGCAAGAAAATTTAAGCATAAATTATACCTCAAAAGCTATCCATGAATACGGGGAAATCACATCATAAAATAATTCTATTAGAACTGGTCTCGTCATTATAACTGTAAAGTTAAATTTAGCTTTTTAAAAGGATCAAAGTTCTGTACTCCTTATAACGTAGCGCCAGTACAATGCTTATCTATATATATAAAAAAAGAGGAAGTTTGTTTATTTTGTTCGCCATAGGAAACCAAATGGTTGAACATAAAAATTTTAAAATAACTTCATAATAACAAGTTTTTTTTTTTTACAAGAAATTTAATGGTGCTATTTATTTTGTATTTGGTGTAGTATTTAATGACGAAATTAACAATTAATGATTATTGCGCCATTTTTGTAATAAACATACTGTTACGTCTCCGTTCGTTA